CGCTGAAATCCGACTATTTNACCGGACTACCGTGACGTTGACGTTGACGTTTTCTCCGGTCCCAAATTGCTCGCGTTGTGCTCGAAAGCAGCGTGGCCCTACATGCAACATCCTTTTACTCTGCAGCTTCGTGACATTCCTCATCAGTTGCCAGTTGTTCTTTCGGGCTCGCTGAAATCCGACTATTTCATCGACGTCCGTACTTAATGAGGGGGAATTGTGGGTCCACTGCTCGCACATGTCGGTTCATTTTGAGTGCTCTCCGAGAGCAGGTGTGCGAGTCAAGTGACGAATAATTTGGCCGTCTGTTGTAATTTCATCTTTTCGCCTTTGCATTGCTGGACTCTCATTCTTTGCTGCACAGAAGCGTGTATCTGCCCGCAACATATAGTGGTTCGACTCTATATTTCGCCCTCGGAGTGTACGTATGTCCGTCTAAAACACTGGAAGCGCGCCTTCCGTCCATTACAACATCAACTATTTGGTTTCTCGGATTTTGATCTGGAGAAAATCACTTAGTTTTGTGGATCTTTTTATGATAAGCTGATAACTGTGATTCTAGGTCTTTAAAATTCTAATTTGCCACTTCTATTGATCTCAACGGATCGGTTTTCGAATTATATGCATATAATTAAAACCCAGAAAAAAGCTTTTCCAAACGTTCTTATCCCCCTAAGTTGGTAACCTTTTTTTAATCCCATGTTGTGACTCTACGAACAACGGAACCGGATTAATATCTTTGAATCACCAAGCTTTGCTTCAAATACGCTTTGCTTGAAACCAGTTGCAAACAACCAACTACTAAAACCTTTACTCTTAGTATTACTCATCAGTCACATTGCCTCTTTCAGAGAAGAGATACACACTTTTAGGCGAAGAGAGTGATTTCCGCTTACCGCCTGTACTAAATATGTATCAATTAGATGCAATTGTGTCCAATTGCGGACGATGAGCGCACCAACCGCTTTGAAACGGCCTTTTCCATATGTAAGCGTTGGGGCTTGCCAAACCCATTCCAACGGGAATTTATACTAAATACAAAGAAATTAAAATTTAAGAGCACACTTGCAGGCGTATGATGGCACCACTACAAACACAACATAGGCACTTCTCTGCTTTTGTGGTTTTGGTTAATGATGTTCTTTTTCTTAATTTTTTTTCTATCATTGCATTAGAGAGTACGCCGCCACTCACTTGTTGCTCGCAACCAACAGCTGAACCCACAAAGCGCTGCTGCAGCCTATCACCCCCACCGATATCAGCTCCATCAAAGACAGCCAACACGCGCTCAACTGCCGCGACGGGTTCACTGAGCGCCGTTATTTGTTTGCATGCGCGCGTGTTGGTATCTATGTGTGTGTGTCGGGTTGCTCAAATATGTGAATGTATGTATGTACCCTGTAGTCAAATGTACCAGTTGTAAACTACCTCACAACTAGTCAGCTAACTACCTTGCTTTTTTTATATTTGTATTTTTTTGAGTATTAATTAAAAGGAAAAATAAATACATAAATATTTCAAACTTTCGAACACAAATTTAAATATATTTTTTTATTAAATGTTATTAAAAGTAAAAGCATTCAGGTACAATTAATACTATGGGTACTTTTTATCTTTTAATATTTATTAATTANTTTAAATGCATTTTTTTATTAAATGTTATTAAAAGTAAAAGCATTCAGGTACAATTAATACTATGGGTACTTTTTATCTTTTAATATTTATTAATTAATATTAAATATGCAAAAGAAAATATTTCAGTTAAAAATAAAATAAATACTTTAGTTCATTTTTGAGTAAACTTAAAAAAAAAAAAAATTTTTATTAAATTAAATTAAATTCACTAACTTTGCACATTTCAGTCCTTTCTTTTTAAAATGTTATGCAAGTAATAATTAACGTGTAAATTTGAGATTTGCATAAGAATAAAATAAATAAATAATTCATGCATTGAAATTAATTGAATAATTACATTAATCTTGTAATTAAAAAATCAAAAATAATTGAAAATGATCTAAAATAATCATTTAATTAAAATTACTGTATTAATTAACATTTTTTAATTAATTTTTAATCATTAAAATGGTGCTAATATTGGTATTTCATCATTGCACAGTTATCCAAAGAACATGCATTAATTATTAATCATTATGATTATTAATAATTATTTAGCATATCAAGTATGATTGCATATGAACTCGCTTTAATGATTTACAATATACCCAAATAAAAGTTATAATATTTTGTGTACAACTGTCGAAGTCAAATAAAACCGGGCATGAATAAATCGTTTAGTACTTGGTACAAGTCTGGTCATTTTCGAACTAGTTCCGTTTCAGTAAAGAAACTCTAGTTGTAAACTAGTATTTTTCTTGACTAGTTTGGCGTTTCACTGCAGGATATGTACATTTTTATGGATGTGTTGCATGGATGGGGGAAGGCGGCGAGTACATAAGCGTTCGAAAGATAGGCGCGTTGCTTTGCAATGGAGCCACTGCCAACAATTGCTATATGTATGTATGTAAGTGAGCGCGCGCGTGTGTATTTGTGTGGGTTTTTTTCTTTGCTTTGCTGCTTTTGCCGCTGGGGCTGGTTCACATTGAAAAGAATTTCACTGACTGACATTTAGTCTAGTGCCGTTTTTGGTTGCAGTTGTGCGACGAACAGTCACCGGAAAAATATTAAAAAATTATCAGAAAGAGAGAAAGAAAAATTAATACAAAAAAAAAGTTTTTAATTGAACATTATATTAAAAAAATTAAAAAAGAAGAGTATTCATATAAATCATTTAATGCAAAAAGTTTACCAAACAAACTCTATAAGTCAACGATATTTAACAATAAGAACTTGTATGTAAAAATTGGGTGCCGATAAGTGGTATCGCTAATTAAAAAGGCAGCCGGCTAACAACAACTGATTTCATATAATTTATGTTCGATTAAGTGCAGTCGGACAGAGAGTAAAGAAAATATATGCAAGTTTTTTATTCTTAATACATAATTTTTTTCTGTTGTAAAAATTACAAGCGTGACACATTTTGCATGAGTGTATGTGTGTGCTGGCATTTTGCCCTTTACGGTTTGTGCAACAAAATAGCGACTAATGAAGGCGAAACCCTATGAGCTAATTACAGTGAAATATTTAATTAAATATTAAGTGAAATTCTATGGTCATAACTGCATATGTATGTATGTACATACTTATGTAAGTGTAACGTGTAACACGGTATTGAATAAAGCCTAGAAATAATTAAGGAAATTTACTTAACTGTTAAAAATATACACACATATGTATGTTCATATGTATTTGTAGGAATTTAAAAAATAAAAACACACTCTCATTTCAAATTAAAAAGAAAAGTTTGTTAGAATAACGAAATGTGAACGAAAATTTGCTGAAGAAACACTAAAATGATCATTTGAATGCTAATTGAAAGTTAAAACCAAACAACCAAACTAAAAAAGAGGCATTCATGCATTCAATTAAATAAAAATTTTACTAAAAAAAATTTTGCGAATGCTAAACAAAGCTTGTGAAAAATTAAAAACAAAAAAAGTAAAAACAGAAGGAAATATGAACGCATAAATACTTATGTACTTACGTAAATTAATAATTTTTATTATTTTTTTGTTTGAAAAATTAGAATTAACAAATTTTAATTTCGCATTCCGTCGTACATTTATTGGCAGCTGTTGCACACTGATCGCACGCAAGACCCCATTGCCTTGCAAATTTTCGCATTTTAAAATTGAAAACATTCCGTAATAAAATCAACAAACAATAAAGGAAAATAACAATAATTTTGTTAACACAGAAAAGCTGCAAAAAGTACTGTAAGCAAAACCGTAACAAAAAGTGCGAAAAACAATTAGTTATTGAACTTTGAGTTTGTGACTAAAGCATTTTGTATAATATATAATGTACAATGAATTCATACGCGAGAATCGATTACATACAGAGTACGCATCACACACCTCCACCTCCAAAGCCAGCAAATAAGAGGCAATTAATTGCACAGCCTGCTGATTGACCACCCCTCTTTTGCCACTCCATCCAGTGCCAGTGAAGTTGCTGCTGCTTTATCTTTGATATATACATACATACATATGTAAACAATATTAGATTAGCAACAAGTGCTCACAGAATTGCCAACAAAAAAGGAAAAGCACACAACAGAACACAAAAAGTAGCGGACAGAGAAAAACAAGCAGAAAAGCTAATAAATAGAAGCAGAAGAAGTCAATTTCTCAACAAGTTAACTACAGTCGACTGTAAAAAGCCAATAAATAAAGTGGCAACCCAGAAATCAAAAATACTTAATAAATAAGTGCAGTGCAAAAGAAAGATAAATGCACACATTCCATAGGAAAAGTTGCACCTAAAAACAACAAAACTGAGAACAAAGATCTGCTAACCGCGCAGCAAACCAAATAAACCCAACCAGCAGTCCAACAATCCACATACATTCACACATTTGTATGCATTTACGCCTGCTCTCTGGCCAAACTGCAGTCAAAGCCGAAGGCAAAGTCAACAATTGACGAAGTGACTGATTGACTGACTGACTGCTAGCCACCAGCGGTCGCCAAGTGGAAAAGTAGTCATAACCAATTGTTAGCCAACAAACTACAGGCAGAAGCAATCAATGGTAATAAGAATTTTTGTATGCCGTTCTGCTAGGAAAATAAATATATGAATAGTAAAGTATAAAGAAAGCAGCAGCTGGCAAATATTGTGAAAAGTTGGCAAACAACAAGAAAAAATAAACCACTTGCATAGGCACAGTCAAAGAAAAATATGCTGCACGAATGCAGTTTGCAGTGAGCAACAAGTTGCGACCGTGACAACTGGAAGCTTGCAACAAGTGGCAGGCACAATTTTAGCGGGATTGATGAAGCAACAGGTTGCCAGCCAACAAGTGCCTAGTAGCAGAGTGGCAAGTAACGAGCGACAAACGAGGTNAAAAAAAAAAACAAGAATAGAAATGAATAATGCCAAAGCAAAGTTTCAATTTGAAAAAGCGCAAAAGTTTATATGCATAATTTCAAGCAAAAAATCACTTACCAATTAAGCTTCTCGTTAAAAATAAATAATTAAAAAATCGTAATATTTAACTAACAAACAAAAAACGTGAAACATTCTAAACTAATAATTTTGAAAGTGGCTAATAATAATCTGACAATTCCAGCACAAATGAAACAATTGCTCAATCAAATATTCTAACAAACCAAGTACAAACATAATTGCTTTTCCTTGAAAAAAAAAATGTATGGTAAATCTTAAATTTAAAGGAAATATTGCGCAACTACACAGTTGAGCTCAAAAAAAAAAGAAAAACATCTTAAATGCCAGGCTGGAAAAGTAGGTTAGACTTTTGAACTCGGAACAAAGCCAACGAAAAAACTAAAAAAAAAAAACTAAACACAAAAACGTCAATCACTAAAACCGGCCCCTTCGAACTCGCGCGTACAAAGTTCAAGTTACGAAAAAGCAACAAAAACAAAAAAATAGCACTTCAAGCAAGACCACGTAGAGACGTGGCTATCAGAAAAGCGTAAAAACCAAAAATAAAAAACCCGACGAAAAGAAAGCAAACCGGCGTCTGCGCGATTCAAATCAAACCTAAATACATACATATATACACAAAATTGTATGTATAAGAAAAGTTAAAGTTATAATCATAATATTCTTAATAAATGACCTCACATATTCACGCTTAACCGCATTCTAGTTACATACATACATACATATGTATATACACATATAAAGCGATAATTCGAAACCGGTAACTTAAGTGTATGCGCGCAAAGTAAAAATACATTCAAATTAAACAAGAAATCAAACAAAGAATAATTTTTTATTTTTTTGTTAATGTTTCTACTATTTAAGCAGACCATCAAGTTACATAAAGAACAAGTGTGCAGTTAAGAAATATATTAAGTGTTAAATAGGCGGTTAAAAAAGAACCAGCTCATTCTTGACGACCCGATAACGTACTACGACGGTTAAACTCTGCCAAAGTCAAAAAAGAGTTCGACGTAAAAGCATCAACTAAAAACGTAAAAAGAAAATCAAAGTAAAAACAAAGTAAGAACAACAAAAATGGAAGGATTCTACGATGGTGATTTAAAAGACATTTGGGATTCCGATTTAGATCCGGTAAGTTCGAACAAAGCTTTTACAATAAAACAATAATACCAATGTAAAAACTAGACTCGAAAACAACTGAGCACCGACGCAAACTTTTTAATGTTATTACAACTTAAATTTTTTAAATCATTTTTACAGTAATGTTTGTCAGAAAAAGGGCTGCCAAATCTGAAGCTCGGGTTCATCTTGTCCACTACTCTAAGCGCTGCTACCATTCAGTAGCGTGGAAATAATAGTTTAAGTATATTCTGGACATCTGTCATTTGGTCGCCATTGTTGTTCTTACAGGAGTTCGCCCCGGTCTTGAAACCTTCCGTAAGTCGCCTAACCCTCTGGTAGAATTTTGGGGCGTCCTTCCTGTCGGCCAGCATCTCAAGCTCTTCGCACTCACGTATTTCGGCCTCTCTCTTCTTATTACGGCAAATACGTCTCGCTTCCTTCTTCAGTTCCCTATAATGGTGTTACATGGCTCGCGTTGCACCCGATCGCAGCGTGGCCCTGTAGGCGGCATCTTTTTCTCTGCAGCTTTTTGACATTCCTCTTCGTACCCGTTGTTCTTTGGGGCTCACAGAAATCGGAATACTTCTTCGGCGATGGTACTTAATGGACGGGAAATGTAGTTCCACTGCTCGCGAATGTCGGTTTGTTGAAGAGTGATCTCAGAGAGCAGGTGTGAGAGTCGAGTGGCGAATAAATTGGCCGCCTGTTGTGATTACAGCTTTTCGACTTTAAGTTTTCCTTGCATTATTGGGCTCATATTTTTTGCTGCACAGAGGCGGGTGCGTATCTTGGCTGCAACAGTATAGTGGTTCAAGTCGATGTTTCGCTTTCGGAGTGTACGTACGTCTAAAACACCAGAAGCGTGCCTTCCGTGTATCACAACGTGATCGATTTGGTTTCTCATTTTTCGATCTGGAGACAGCTATGTAGCTTGATGGATATTTTTATGCTGGAACCTAGTACTACATATTACCATGTTTCGGGCCCCGGCTAAGTTGATTAGCTTCAGTCCGTTATCGGACGTTTCGTCGTCGTGGTTGAATTTTCCGACAGTGGCGCCAAAAGTCTCTTACTTTCCCGCCTTGGCATTAAAATCGGCGAGTGCGATCGTGTCGGGGTCAGCGCTCACATGTACGCTCCAAGCGCTTACAGAAGAGATCTTTGGACGCCTCGTCCTTCTCTTCCGTCGGGGCATGGGCGCAGATCAACGAGATGTTGAGGAATCTCGCTTTGATGCTAGACGTTCGTGGCTAGACGTTTGTCATGTCAAATTCATGCATTTGGAAAAAAGTGCAAAAATCTGTCCCCCAAAAAAAATCTCAAAAATCAATGGGATTTTCTAGCCGTTTTAGTGGGCTACAAAACTTCATACTCGAAAATTTCCTAGAAATTCTGGATAAAAGGTTGAAAATTTTGATGAAAATTTCTTTGATTATTGTGAACTTTTAATGAAGTATGAAACTTTGATTTATATGGTTTATATTAAAGAATAAACAACATTTTCAAAAATAATTAATACAAAAAATTCTGCATGAAAATAATCGTGGATATTATATTAGAACAAGGCGCACATTTTGATTATCAACAACGACCAAATATTTTCAAACGTATGACTGTTTCACCTCTTTTGAATCCACTAATTTAAAAAAAAAAATATATATATATATATATATTTTTCTCATTTTTAACGATTTAATATTTCTTAAAATTGTTTATTATTTTTTTAGTTAAGTAGGAGGGAGATAAAAAATTTAAAGTCAATTTATAAAATCTCAGATTGTTGAAATATAAAATATCGACGTACTAATGTGTCTCCTTTAGAGATTACTTATTTAGCAATAAATTTCGTTTCGACTTTTATGATTTCCTGGTAACTTTTCATTCCTACGCCAATGATAAAAACATAAATTTTATAAATATACCCTGCGTAAATATTACATGAAATTTTGCCGCAATTACTTTTAAGTACTTTACGCATTAAATGCATATGCAACATCCCCGGCAGTAAATTTGTAGCCAAACATATAGAAAATTTGAAGAAAAAGAATGCATGCAAATGTAAAGCTTTAAATATAAAATATGAAACAATGAAACAGATGACTACATCACCAAGCGTTGGCCTGGCGCGGACTCACATGCATGCATATTCATTCATTCATTCATTCACTCAATCACTCGCACATACTTGATGTACATATGTATATTGGCTAAATGATTGCCTAATTGCAATTGCAGCGGAATGTTTAGTGGCACAACAAATTATGTTTTATATGAACTGGTTTTAATAGCAGCACGCGTATTCCAATGCGGATGGATGTATGTACATATGTGTGCATATTTAGATCCACACAATTCTATATATGTCTGTAGAATAAGTGGGACTTGCATCCTCTTCATCGCATAGCGTTTTTGAAGCTATTTTTAACTGGATTACAACATGATTTGCAAAGAAGCAAATTTACACTCTATAGTGTACGTATGTATTTATGTATGTATGCCTGGGTGTGAAATTGTGCGTGATTGTGGCGAATGACGAGTACGCGAATATGTGAATGAATTTGATAAGTTCGCTTGTGTATATCACTTTTATAATTAATTGTAAGTGCTTGCTATTTTTCGAAAATATGTATGTATGAGTTAGATCACCTCTTAGAAGAGTAAACATTTGTGATTTTATTTTATACATACATACATACATGTACCCTGCAGGGAAAGCTACTAGTTGTGAACTAGAATTCTACCGGTTTGCGTTTCAGCCGAACTAGTTCACGTTCTATCCTTTTTCAATGTTAGCGACTGGTATTTTTAACATTGCGATGTCCTACGAGATGTCAATTGTCAGGCTATGCATCAGCATCTACTAGTATAAATACTAGTAGCATCATACCAGTTGATGAGATAGTCTGCCAATTCATGCCCCGTGAAAAGCATAAGTGTGCATTTTTGCTCGCGACGCTCCTGCAGTCACAATGGCCGACAGAGCAAAGCACTCGCGTGGTGAGCCTGAGGTCCCAGCTTCAAATCCTGGCGCAGGGAGAGTTTTTTTTTATTTTATATTTTTTATTTTATTTTTATTTTTTATAGATTTATTTTTTGTTTAGGCTGTTTATTGTAATTTTTAAATTTAATAAAAAAAAATATTTTTGTTTAATTTTTTTGTTTTTATAGCACAAGCATTTCTCCCTAAATGGTTTTTTGCAATGCAATTAGATATTCAAATTTGTTATTTATTTATAAATTGAATAAATTATTTTTACTTACA